AGATGCTTGTGACTTTGCTTCTCAACCATCCAAGAGAACCAAGACCTCCCAGGCAGAGATGTCAATATGTCTTTGGCTATGGTTGTTGATAAGCCAAATACAGAGGAGATCCCTCTTATTCGCAAAAAGACAAAGTTATCCTCTCCTGCAAGTACTCCAAAAATAACTTACATGGAAACCACCCCATTGCTAGTTGTCTTGGAAAATGTTTAGGAACCAATCCTTTCTCTATCTAATAGTGGAGACATTCTATTAAGTCAACTTGTCCCTTTTGCCAAATAGATTGGCAAAAAGATTCAAGGTTGTTGCTAAGGTAAATGATTCATTTTTCTTAATTCCCTTTACCTTTTCTTCATTTTTAATCATTTATATTCTTACCCATTGCTCTTTCTTTTTTAGAAAAAAGGAACAAAAAATCACATGTGTCATCAAATCATAATAGCCCTAAGCACCCTTTCTCACATCCTCCATGCCTGACAACAATTACTATCCTGCTAGCCAAGGAGAAGGCACAATGGCCATAGTAGTAGTAACTATCCATGTGAGTCAATTCATGCCCCCTTTGTCTATTGAGGATCATCCATCGATCAGTCAACCAAAATCCCCACCTATTACTAGTACTGACTCTAGAGAATAGACCAATAAAGAGCTTGTTACCCCTATTCAAATAGTTCCAGCTGAGGGCATGAACATTTCTCTCAACCTATACATCTCTCAATAGCAAGCTTCCTACAAAACAAGCTAACCCTTGAGGGAACTTCTCGCTAGACTCTTGCTGAAACAATGCCTCTCATTGATCTTACTAATAATCCTTATCATCAACTAGATCCATTGAAGAAATCTTTGCCATCTACCGCTTCTATAAATCAGGTATCTTTTTTATCTAGTACCTCTTCTCTCTTTCTTTTCCTTTACATCTTCCTTACTAATGAATTTCTCTTTTTTCCTTTGTAGTCAATGTCTGAGTCTGCCTCTCACACCTCTACCTCTGACTTTGACATTGAAGCCATTTATCAGAAAGCAGATGAGCTTTTAAAGGCAATAGACTCTGTATCTACCTTGAGCACCTCTATTCTCCCTATCAAAGGAGCTTTGCAACAATAATTTTTCCTCTTATTCAAACTATTGGAGCTATAATTTGATCAACTTATTAAAACTGATCTTGTTTTTGTGACCTCATGTTTGACCAAAATCTCTACTGCTTCATCGAATTTCCTTAATGAACAACAACAAGAACAAGTGGCCTTCATGAGTACTTACTTGCAAACAAATGTCTCCCAAGCCAACTATTTCAAAAGTGAGACCAGGACCAAGATGGACTTCATTAATTCTGTCAAAAACTTTGCTCCTCAACTTACTTCAAATAAAGAGAAAGAAGAAAAGTTAAAGGAAAGAGATACTTGTTGCTCCAAGAGGAAATGGTGCTTAAGGAGAAATTATCAAGAGTGATGGAGCAGAGATCTGAAATTAGACAAGAATGAGCGAACTTGCTCCTTCACACTAAGGAACTGTTAGCCACCATCAAGATGGAAGTGGCAAGGTATTGACTGCAGTTAAGAGTCTAAAACATGCCCAACAACGATTACGTTTACTGTCGAATGAATAAAATACTTTCAAGCTCTATTTTTCTTTATAAGCTTTTGTAATCCTGTATATCCTTCTTTTTCTTGTATATTGTGGTTTGACTATTTGGTCCATCTAATAGAAAATTCTTTCTTTCCCTACTTGTGGTCTGCATGTTTTCTTCACATTGTGATTTGCACTATACTTTTCCTTATTATGGAAAAATCACATTAAGGACAATTAAAATCTCCTTTGCAACTTTTGTCTAGGATTCTTTAACCAATCACTCAAAATAAAGGACCAAACATCCAAAGCAAAAGAAAGTACTTTCATAATCTTTTGAACTAATTTTCATTACAGGACTAGAGTCATTTCTTGACTAGCTCCCTTGCATCTTTGAGTATTGTAGGCCAGAAATATCCCTGCCTCAGTGCCTTATAGGTTAATGTTTGAGTTTCAATGTGGTTTTCACAAATGCCCTCATGTATTTCTCTGAGGATATAGTTTGTTTCGTCTTCTCCGACGCACCTCAAGACAAGTGAAGAGAAGTCTCTCATGTAAAATTTCTCCTGGATGAGAGTGAATATGGATGACCTAATTCTTAGCTTCACTGCTTCTTTAGAACCTACGGGTAGTGTTCCGTTCTGTAAATAAGTTAAGATTGGGTCCATACAAGTCGACTGAGTGCTAACAGGGAAAACTTCTTCTAGTTCAGCACTTACAGAGGGCTCGACTAGGTGTTCAATTGGGATAAACCTCTCTAGATTTTCTTGGAGGCGGTGGCCAGTCTGGCTAGAGCATCAGCTCTAGAATTCTATGCTCGCAGAATTTACACGATCTTGACTTGAACAAATTTTTTCAGCAAATATTGTACCTTTTTTAAATAGTGCGCCATTTAAAAAAGAATTATATGAAATAGAGAGAGAAATATTAGAGATGAAAGAGTGTGTTTAAAATATTAAGAGAGAGTTATATACGTATGAGAGTTGAATGTATCAGATAGAGTGAGAGAGAGAGTTATATGAGAGATGAGAGTTTAGAGTTGTAAAAGAAGTAAAAGTTTAATTAGGATCGTCAAATCAATAATGCTCCGTTTGGTATGATGAAAAAATGGAAGGATAAAAAATTGTAGGGATAAATAAAATATCATGTTTGGTAAGAAAGAAAAATAGTAAGGATGATAAAGTGGATGAATTAATTTTCCTTTCAACTCGTTAAAATCAATCCCTCTAAAATCGAAAGGAAAGTGGATGAAAAGTTAATTATTTGTGTTAAAATGTATCTTATTTGTCTATATATCTTTTAATATATACGTCTATTATGTATATATTAATTTCATATAAAAATACAATGATAAAATATGTATATATATTTAAAAAAATTTTAAAATATTTTTTTCATCTTAGTTAGGGATGAAAATTTTCAACTCAACACGATAACAAGACTCAAACTCAACCCGAATTTGATTATAACTCGACACGAACTTGAAAATATTAACATAAATTCAATTAAGTAAAATAGAATATTAGCGTTAAATTTTTTATTCAAAGTTTATGTAGGTCAACATAAATATGAACACAAACACGATACGAAAATAAACAGATTAACTCGCAACTCGACACGACACAATTAGTTAAATGAGTTAAGTTAGGTTTGACTAATATTCGACACAAACTCGTAATGACTCAACATGAATTTGACACGACACGACTCGATTGTCATCTCTAATCTTAGCCAGCACAAAAAAAAAAAATTAGTCATTTTTATTTTCTATCCATCTTACCAAATACAAAGGAAGAAAAATGTATCATTCTTTCTTTTCTTCCTTGAAGGATAAAAAGTGTATCCCATACTTTTCATTATTTCTACTCTCCATCTTTTTTATCAAACCGAGCATAATCTTCAAACGATTTGAGTCGCGCAAAATTAAAAATAAATCATCTAACTATTTTATTATATAGATTTTGTTTTAACAACAAATAAAATGGCTAATGATGCTATTTTAAGTATTTATTTTTTATGATGCAAAGTTCTCGAATGGAGATAAATTCTTTCTCTTTTCACTATAATGTTAAATACCTTGGGCGATCCAAATCTAACAAACAAGAGAAGAAAGAGAAATCGAATACTATTGACATATTCATTAGAATTACACATACTACGATGTCGACCCCACACCCGTCTCTATTTTAGTCTAAGTTTTTGATCCACCAAACTTTATCCTATCTCCATTTACCCACTATTCTACAAGAAGCAGCTGATATGGTCCCACAATCGAGCTCATCCTCCAATAAAAGAGATACATAAAAATAAAGAGGGTTTAATTGAAAAAGTTTGGTCAATAGAACCCTTCATTCTGAGTTTTTACCATTTCGTATTTGGCCCCTTTCCTTAAAGGACCCTAATTATTCATTGGTTTTTAAGTTAAACTATTGAATGCAATTATTTATACCTTTTTTTTTTTTTGTCTTCTCTTAAAAATGAAGAAACTATGACCATTTATGTATTGAATTATTGCTCACCAGAAACTATTACAAGGAGGAAACGACTAGAACCCGTAAGTGGCGGAGCCAGTCAAGGACCACGTGCCCACCCTTGATTTTTTTTATCTTATCAGTATGTATTATATTTTTTAAAATATATTTAATTATGCCTACTTTATTATTTTGTTATGTACACACTTTTACCTAAATGACTAACATTGATAACTTACCACAATTAATCTTATTTTTAATAAAAGATTATAATTAATATTATTTTTGCTGTGTACATATATTCATAGAATTTTTAAATATCACTGATAAAATAAATAGGATAAATGCCATCTTTTTATTTTTATCGATTAAGATAAAACTTATTAGAAACTTAGAACACCAACCCTAAACTATTTTTTTTGGCTCCACCCTAGAACCCGTAACCTTTATATTTAATAGAAGCGGTGATCATTAAACCAACTAGAAACCTCAATCTAAACCTAATTACTTGCCAAAAAAGGTGAGAGGAGAATCTTCCATTCAACATTAAGGTGCGTTCCATGAATCTTATCATCAAGAAGAATAAGGTGAATAGTAATATTACATTGATTAAATTTTAAGACTAAATTTAGAGTTTTAATAATATAACAGTTGACTCGGACTTTTTTAATTGTTGTTATGTCATTTAAATCTTAATAAAAATTTTAAATAATATGTTATCGTGTCATTTAAATTTTAAAATTAATTTCAAAATTTAGTCAGTGTAGAATTTCTGTAAAGCGAAAGCCTCAGAAAAATAAAGTATGGGGATGATTTAATCTTATCATCAACAAGAATAAAGTGACAAGCGCAGATTATTCCAACGCTACTATTTAAAAATTCAAAGTCTTTCTAGTCTCTTCAAGAACCTCCTCTTAGATAAAAGCAGAGAGAGAGGAGAGAGAGAGAGAGAGAGAGAGAGAGATGTCGAAGGCACGAACAGTTGGGATTGGCATGGACTACTCACCCACAAGCAAATCGGCTCTGAAGTGGACGATCGATAATTTGATAGAAGCTGGAGATCGAATCATCATAATTCATGTTCAATCTCCGAAGGCTGATCCTACCAACAAGCAGCTCTTTGCAGACACTGGATCACGTATATATATATATCTATATACATGCAACCTTGCTGTAGATCACTTATAATTCATTTCATGTGTTTGTACCAAGCATGGCCTTGTATGTGCTTGTTAAAATGCTTCTGTTGGGTTTCAGCTTTGATACCTCTTGAAGAGTTCAGAGAGATTAGTGTGTCCAAGCAATATGGACTTACCCCTGATCCTGAGGTTCTTGATAGGCTTGATACAGTTTCCAAAGCCAAAGGGGTACCCACTTCTCTCTCTACATAAATACATATATGTGTGTGTCTTGTTCACTTGCAATGACTATATGATCTAGTTCCAACTCGTCTAAAAACTTAACTATAACATAAATATTCATATACGTCAACAAATTAATGGGATTATTATGTTATCGGGTATTTATGATTGTGTTTGTATGGTGGCGCAGGCAAAGGTAGTGGCGAAGGTATACTGGGGGGATCCAAGGGAGAAGCTGTGTGATGCTGTGGAACTTCTCAAACTTGATTCAATTGTTGTGGGGAGCAGAGGCCTGGGAGTCATTAAAAGGTGATCCTTTCACTCCTTTTCTTCCCCCCCTTTGAGCAAAAATAAAAGTAAAAATGAAATGATAGCTCCAAACCTGCTTGTTTTGCACGAATCTTCATTAAGGTCCTTAATGTGCAGTGGAGCATCCATTAGAGAAAAGCCCAATAAATCTTGCTGTTCCACTAAAAATCCATTTGGCCCTTCCATATTTATAATTGAGTCATAATTTTTTGGTATAATATCAAACAGATCCTAAATTTACTCTGTTCCTTTTGGAGTTATTTATCAGAGTACTATTCTTTTAAAATAAATATACCAAAATACGGTACTTTATAAAAGCAGAATCAATAACCCTTTTTGTTTTTTTGTTAAAAAACAGGGTTAATCATGTCGCTTTTAAATAAAAAAACGAGATCTAATTGCAGAAAAATTGTGGACAAAACAGGTGGAAAAACGTGTTTATTAAACATGTTTTTCAGTTGTATACACGGTATACGGGCCATATTTTTTATTTAAAAGAGGGGTTATTGACTCTGATGTTAACAAAAATGGGCTTGTTGACTCTTAAAAGTGTCATAGTTTGGTAAATAAGTTTAAAAATATTATATTTTGGTATGTTTATTTTAAAAAGGCGGTATACTGATAAATTACTCGTTCTTTTTGTGCCCTTCAAATTTTTATTACAAAAATGTTTAGGATTCATTTTGAAATCTTAATAGCACTTACACAAAAAAACATAATTGATGTCCATAAAAACATAATTGATGTCCATAAAGACCATTTTTGGAGCAAAAGCATAATTAGCTAACGGACCATTCCCCATAGAGTTTTAAATTGCTTTAAAATAAAATTATTAAAAGTAAGACTTAATTATTCTAATAAAAAATTTAATAGGACTGAACTTTTTTTTTTTTTTTGAAAAATGTCTTATTGGAATTATTGCATTTTTTTATTTATGTTTTGCTTAAGGATTATTTTAGTAATCATAACAAGTATGATGGAGACATACCAACAGACAAAAATTACATTCAACATCCCCAAGGTTTGTTAAAAGCAAATTTAATCCCTAATATTTTGGGAAATCACACTTCACACTTCGAAGTTTGAATTCAATTACAAGCTCACCTATGCACTTTATCCCCTGAGGTTTGGAAACGCACTCTACTCTCTAAAAGTTAGAAATCAATTATACATTTTTCCATAAGAAGTTTTCTGTTATTCTTAGAATCTCAAGGATAGAACAAGGGTATTAACTGTATGTTTTCTTAATATATTAGGACTCGAATTACTTTGTACAAGGGTCAAGGATATTAAAGGATGTTTTAATGATTATTAGAGTAAAATCACCCCCGCACTCCCTTTCAACCATCACTACTAATTTGAAGAGATGACAGTCACCAAACCAACCCTTTTGGCAAATGACATAATTGCGTCCTCAAATCACGGCATGATGTCATTAATAATAATTTAATTTGCCCTTAATCACTAATTTTTTTTTTTAAAAAAAAAAAGTCAAGACATATATTTTCTGGTGCTCTATGATTTGATTCATTAGCGACAAGATAAGCATGCCTTAACAAGAGAGTCAAAATTCAATTTTGATTCTTTTTGGTATATTTTGTTTCGATTTTCCTCGACAAGAAAATAGAAGTTAAAAATTCAACTCAAACTCAGTATATATAAGGGTCTCTTAATTATATCCGCACTTAGGTGTGTTTGGTTTAGGCATTAAGTGAGAATTTTGGACAAAATAATGTCTGGGTCCACCTTATCACATTTACTCCCTTGTTTGAATACACACTTTGGACCCGATATTATCACTTATAAATACTCCTAGTCTAGATGAATAGTATTTTTAAACTCATATATAGCCTCTTAAATAAACCCACCTATTTGGTGGGTTTAAATAGTCCGGTTGTGTATGTTTTGACAAAAATATTTTTACCCTTAAGAGTCTTTATATAATTATTTTGAGTGTTCTTTTGTAACTTAATGTTTATACTATCATTTAATATTTTATCCAAACAAAATATTGGATGAAATAAATATGGAGTGCACTACTTCTTAATATTTGAACCAAACATGAAATGAAAAGAGATTATCACTATAATTAATCTAAGACTTGAATGGATGGATGGATGGATGGATATGGGATGAACGGATTTATCCAATCTGATACTATCTAATGCCTAAACCAAACACACCCGAACTGATTCTCTTGATTATACATAGGTGTGATCCACATCGAACAAATTAAGAAAATTATAGATTCCTTTGCGATCTATGCAGGGTGTTGCTTGGGAGTGTCAGCAATTATGTGGTGCAAAATGCAACATGCCCTGTCACGGTGGTGAAGGGGACACTACCGCCGTCCAAGCCAACCAGGCATGTGCTAATTGATTAGCAATTGAATTACAAGAAATATAAGCCTTGGGATATGATCAAGCTTAGTAGATAAAGTTTTTATGTGTGTGTTGGTTTGTATTTTCCCTCTGGATTTCAAGCCATTAGTATTGTTTTTTGGGCTTTGAGATCATTATAGCTTTGTCCCTATGTCATTATCTATTGGTGNAATATATACGTCTATTATGTATATATTAATTTCATATAAAAATACAATGATAAAATATGTATATATATTTAAAAAAATTTTAAAATATTTTTTTCATCTTAGTTAGGGATGAAAATTTTCAACTCAACACGATAACAAGACTCAAACTCAACCCGAATTTGATTATAACTCGACACGAACTTGAAAATATTAACATAAATTCAATTAAGTAAAATAGAATATTAGCGTTAAATTTTTTATTCAAAGTTTATGTAGGTCAACATAAATATGAACACAAACACGATACGAAAATAAACAGATTAACTCGCAACTCGACACGACACAATTAGTTAAATGAGTTAAGTTAGGTTTGACTAATATTCGACACAAACTCGTAATGACTCAACATGAATTTGACACGACACGACTCGATTGTCATCTCTAATCTTAGCCAGCACAAAAAAAAAAAATTAGTCATTTTTATTTTCTATCCATCTTACCAAATACAAAGGAAGAAAAATGTATCATTCTTTCTTTTCTTCCTTGAAGGATAAAAAGTGTATCCCATACTTTTCATTATTTCTACTCTCCATCTTTTTTATCAAACCGAGCATAATCTTCAAACGATTTGAGTCGCGCAAAATTAAAAATAAATCATCTAACTATTTTATTATATAGATTTTGTTTTAACAACAAATAAAATGGCTAATGATGCTATTTTAAGTATTTATTTTTTATGATGCAAAGTTCTCGAATGGAGATAAATTCTTTCTCTTTTCACTATAATGTTAAATACCTTGGGCGATCCAAATCTAACAAACAAGAGAAGAAAGAGAAATCGAATACTATTGACATATTCATTAGAATTACACATACTACGATGTCGACCCCACACCCGTCTCTATTTTAGTCTAAGTTTTTGATCCACCAAACTTTATCCTATCTCCATTTACCCACTATTCTACAAGAAGCAGCTGATATGGTCCCACAATCGAGCTCATCCTCCAATAAAAGAGATACATAAAAATAAAGAGGGTTTAATTGAAAAAGTTTGGTCAATAGAACCCTTCATTCTGAGTTTTTACCATTTCGTATTTGGCCCCTTTCCTTAAAGGACCCTAATTATTCATTGGTTTTTAAGTTAAACTATTGAATGCAATTATTTATACCTTTTTTTTTTTTTGTCTTCTCTTAAAAATGAAGAAACTATGACCATTTATGTATTGAATTATTGCTCACCAGAAACTATTACAAGGAGGAAACGACTAGAACCCGTAAGTGGCGGAGCCAGTCAAGGACCACGTGCCCACCCTTGATTTTTTTTATCTTATCAGTATGTATTATATTTTTTAAAATATATTTAATTATGCCTACTTTATTATTTTGTTATGTACACACTTTTACCTAAATGACTAACATTGATAACTTACCACAATTAATCTTATTTTTAATAAAAGATTATAATTAATATTATTTTTGCTGTGTACATATATTCATAGAATTTTTAAATATCACTGATAAAATAAATAGGATAAATGCCATCTTTTTATTTTTATCGATTAAGATAAAACTTATTAGAAACTTAGAACACCAACCCTAAACTATTTTTTTTGGCTCCACCCTAGAACCCGTAACCTTTATATTTAATAGAAGCGGTGATCATTAAACCAACTAGAAACCTCAATCTAAACCTAATTACTTGCCAAAAAAGGTGAGAGGAGAATCTTCCATTCAACATTAAGGTGCGTTCCATGAATCTTATCATCAAGAAGAATAAGGTGAATAGTAATATTACATTGATTAAATTTTAAGACTAAATTTAGAGTTTTAATAATATAACAGTTGACTCGGACTTTTTTAATTGTTGTTATGTCATTTAAATCTTAATAAAAATTTTAAATAATATGTTATCGTGTCATTTAAATTTTAAAATTAATTTCAAAATTTAGTCAGTGTAGAATTTCTGTAAAGCGAAAGCCTCAGAAAAATAAAGTATGGGGATGATTTAATCTTATCATCAACAAGAATAAAGTGACAAGCGCAGATTATTCCAACGCTACTATTTAAAAATTCAAAGTCTTTCTAGTCTCTTCAAGAACCTCCTCTTAGATAAAAGCAGAGAGAGAGGAGAGAGAGAGAGAGAGAGAGAGAGAGATGTCGAAGGCACGAACAGTTGGGATTGGCATGGACTACTCACCCACAAGCAAATCGGCTCTGAAGTGGACGATCGATAATTTGATAGAAGCTGGAGATCGAATCATCATAATTCATGTTCAATCTCCGAAGGCTGATCCTACCAACAAGCAGCTCTTTGCAGACACTGGATCACGTATATATATATATCTATATACATGCAACCTTGCTGTAGATCACTTATAATTCATTTCATGTGTTTGTACCAAGCATGGCCTTGTATGTGCTTGTTAAAATTGCTTCTGTTGGGTTTCAGCTTTGATACCTCTTGAAGAGTTCAGAGAGATTAGTGTGTCCAAGCAATATGGACTTACCCCTGATCCTGAGGTTCTTGATAGGCTTGATACAGTTTCCAAAGCCAAAGGGGTACCCACTTCTCTCTCTACATAAATACATATATGTGTGTGTCTTGTTCACTTGCAATGACTATATGATCTAGTTCCAACTCGTCTAAAAACTTAACTATAACATAAATATTCATATACGTCAACAAATTAATGGGATTATTATGTTATCGGGTATTTATGATTGTGTTTGTATGGTGGCGCAGGCAAAGGTAGTGGCGAAGGTATACTGGGGGGATCCAAGGGAGAAGCTGTGTGATGCTGTGGAACTTCTCAAACTTGATTCAATTGTTGTGGGGAGCAGAGGCCTGGGAGTCATTAAAAGGTGATCCTTTCACTCCTTTTCTTCCCCCCCCTTTGAGCAAAAATAAAAGTAAAAATGAAATGATAGCTCCAAACCTGCTTGTTTTGCACGAATCTTCATTAAGGTCCTTAATGTGCAGTGGAGCATCCATTAGGCAAAAGCCCAATAAATCTTGCTGTTCCACTAAAAATCCATTTGGCCCTTCCATATTTATAATTGAGTCATAATTTTTTGGTATAATATCAAACAGATCCTAAATTTACTCTGTTCTTTTTGGAGTTATTTATCAGAGTACTATTCTTTTAAAATAAATATACCAAAATACGGTACTTTTTAAAAGCAGAATCAGTAACCCTTTTTGTTTTTTTGTTAAAAAACGGGATTAACAATGTCGCTTTTAAATAAAAAAACGAGATCTAATTGTAGAAAAATTGTGGACAAAACAGGTGGAAAAACGTGTTTATTAAACATGTTTTTCAGTTGTATACACGGTATACCGGCCACATTTTTTATTTAAAAGAGGGGTTATTGACTCTGATGTTAACAAAAATGGGCTTGTTGACTCTTAAAAGTGTCATAGTTTGGTAAATAAGTTTAAAAATATTATATTTTGGTATGTTTATTTTAAAAAGGCGGTATACTGATAAATTACTCGTTCTTTTTGTGCCCTTCAAATTTTTATTACAAAAATGTTTANAATTATTGCTCACCAGAAACTATTACAAGGAGGAAACGACTAGAACCCGTAAGTGGCGGAGCCAGTCAAGGACCACGTGCCCACCCTTGATTTTTTTTATCTTATCAGTATGTATTATATTTTTTAAAATATATTTAATTATGCCTACTTTATTATTTTGTTATGTACACACTTTTACCTAAATGACTAACATTGATAACTTACCACAATTAATCTTATTTTTAATAAAAGATTATAATTAATATTATTTTTGCTGTGTACATATATTCATAGAATTTTTAAATATCACTGATAAAATAAATAGGATAAATGCCATCTTTTTATTTTTATCGATTAAGATAAAACTTATTAGAAACTTAGAACACCAACCCTAAACTATTTTTTTTGGCTCCACCCTAGAACCCGTAACCTTTATATTTAATAGAAGCGGTGATCATTAAACCAACTAGAAACCTCAATCTAAACCTAATTACTTGCCAAAAAAGGTGAGAGGAGAATCTTCCATTCAACATTAAGGTGCGTTCCATGAATCTTATCATCAAGAAGAATAAGGTGAATAGTAATATTACATTGATTAAATTTTAAGACTAAATTTAGAGTTTTAATAATATAACAGTTGACTCGGACTTTTTTAATTGTTGTTATGTCATTTAAATCTTAATAAAAATTTTAAATAATATGTTATCGTGTCATTTAAATTTTAAAATTAATTTCAAAATTTAGTCAGTGTAGAATTTCTGTAAAGCGAAAGCCTCAGAAAAATAAAGTATGGGGATGATTTAATCTTATCATCAACAAGAATAAAGTGACAAGCGCAGATTATTCCAACGCTACTATTTAAAAATTCAAAGTCTTTCTAGTCTCTTCAAGAACCTCCTCTTAGATAAAAGCAGAGAGAGAGGAGAGAGAGAGAGAGAGAGAGAGAGAGATGTCGAAGGCACGAACAGTTGGGATTGGCATGGACTACTCACCCACAAGCAAATCGGCTCTGAAGTGGACGATCGATAATTTGATAGAAGCTGGAGATCGAATCATCATAATTCATGTTCAATCTCCGAAGGCTGATCCTACCAACAAGCAGCTCTTTGCAGACACTGGATCACGTATATATATATATCTATATACATGCAACCTTGCTGTAGATCACTTATAATTCATTTCATGTGTTTGTACCAAGCATGGCCTTGTATGTGCTTGTTAAAATTGCTTCTGTTGGGTTTCAGCTTTGATACCTCTTGAAGAGTTCAGAGAGATTAGTGTGTCCAAGCAATATGGACTTACCCCTGATCCTGAGGTTCTTGATAGGCTTGATACAGTTTCCAAAGCCAAAGGGGTACCCACTTCTCTCTCTACATAAATACATATATGTGTGTGTCTTGTTCACTTGCAATGACTATATGATCTAGTTCCAACTCGTCTAAAAACTTAACTATAACATAAATATTCATATACGTCAACAAATTAATGGGATTATTATGTTATCGGGTATTTATGATTGTGTTTGTATGGTGGCGCAGGCAAAGGTAGTGGCGAAGGTATACTGGGGGGATCCAAGGGAGAAGCTGTGTGATGCTGTGGAACTTCTCAAACTTGATTCAATTGTTGTGGGGAGCAGAGGCCTGGGAGTCATTAAAAGGTGATCCTTTCACTCCTTTTCTTCCCCCCCCTTTGAGCAAAAATAAAAGTAAAAATGAAATGATAGCTCCAAACCTGCTTGTTTTGCACGAATCTTCATTAAGGTCCTTAATGTGCAGTGGAGCATCCATTAGGCAAAAGCCCAATAAATCTTGCTGTTCCACTAAAAATCCATTTGGCCCTTCCATATTTATAATTGAGTCATAATTTTTTGGTATAATATCAAACAGATCCTAAATTTACTCTGTTCTTTTTGGAGTTATTTATCAGAGTACTATTCTTTTAAAATAAATATACCAAAATACGGTACTTTATAAAAGCAGAATCAGTAACCCTTTTTGTTTTTTTGTTAAAAAACGGGATTAACAATGTCGCTTTTAAATAAAAAAACGAGATCTAATTGTAGAAAAATTGTGGACAAAACAGGTGGAAAAACGTGTTTATTAAACATGTTTTTCAGTTGTATACACGGTATACCGGCCACATTTTTTATTTAAAAGAGGGGTTATTGACTCTGATGTTAACAAAAATGGGCTTGTTGACTCTTAAAAGTGTCATAGTTTGGTAAATAAGTTTAAAAATATTATATTTTGGTATGTTTATTTTAAAAAGGCGGTATACTGATAAATTACTCGTTCTTTTTGTGCCCTTCAAATTTTTATTACAAAAATGTTTAGGATTCATTTTGAAATCTTAATAGCACTTACACAAAAAAACATAATTGATGTCCATAAAAACATAATTGATGTCCATAAAGACCATTTTTGGAGCAAAAGCATAATTAGCTAACGGACCATTCCCCATAGAGTTTTAAATTGCTTTAAAATAAAATTATTAAAAGTAAGACTTAATTATTCTAATAAAAAATTTAATAGGACTGAACTTTTTTTTTTTTTTTGAAAAATGTCTTATTGGAATTATTGCATTTTTTTTATTTATGTTTTGCTTAAGGATTATTTAGTAATCATAACAAGTATGATGGAGACATACCAACAGACAAAAATTACATTCAACATCCCCAAGGTTTGTTAAAAGCAAATTTAATCCCTAATATTTTGGGAAATCACACTTCACACTTCGAAGTTTGAATTCAATTACAAGCTCACCTATACACTTTATCCCCTGAGGTTTGGAAACGCACTCTACTCTCTAAAAGTTAGAAATCAATTATACATTTTTCCATAAGAAGTTTTCTGTTATTCTTAGAATCTCAAGGATAGAACAAGGGTATTAACTGTATTTTTTCTTAATATATTAGGACTCGAATTACTTTGTACAAGGGTCAAGGATATTAAAGGATGTTTTAATGATTATTAGAGTAAAATCACCCCCGCACTCCCTTTCAACCATCACTACTAATTTGAAGAGATGACAGTCACCAAACCAACCCTTTTGGCAAATGACATAATTGCGTCCTCAAATCACGGCATGATGTCATTAATAATAATTTAATTTGCCCTTAATCACTAATTTTTTTTTTAAAAAAAAAAAAGTCAAGACATATATTTTCTGGTGCTCTATGATTTGATTCATTAGCGACAAGATAAGCATGCCTTAACAAGAGAGTCAAAATTCAATTTTGATTCTTTTTGGTATATTTTGTTTCGATTTTCCTCGACAAGAAAATAGAAGTTAAAAATTCAACTCAAACTCAGTATATATAAGGGTCTCTTAATTATATCCGCACTTAGGTGTGTTTGGTTTAGGCATTAAGTGAGAATTTTGGACAAAATAATGTCTGGGTCCACCTTATCACATTTACTCCCTTGTTTGAATACACACTTTGGACCCGATATTATCACTTATAAATACTCCTAGTCTAGATGAATAGTATTTTTAAACTCATATATAGCCTCTTAAATAAACCCACCTATTTGGTGGGTTTAAATAGTCCGGTTGTGTATGTTTTGACAAAAATATTTTTACCCTTAAGAGTCTTTATATAATTATTTTGAGTGTTCTTTTGTAACTTAATGTTTATACTATCATTTAATATTTTATCCAAACAAAATATTGGATGAAATAAATATGGAGTGCACTACTTCTTAATACTTGAACCAAACATGAAATGAAAGAGAGATTATCACTATAATTAATCTAAGACTTGAATGGATGGATGGATGGATGGATGGATATGGGATGGACGGATTTATCCAATCTGATACTATGTAATGCTTAAACCAAACACACCCGAACTGATTCTCTTGATTATACATAGGTGTGATCCACATCGAACAAATTAAGAAAATTATAGATTCCTTTGCGATCTATGCAGGGTGTTGCTTGGGAGTGTCAGCAATTATGTGGTGCAAAATGCAACATGCCCTGTCACGGTGGTGAAGGGGACACTACCGCCGTCCAAGCCAACCAGGCATGTGCTAATTGATTAGCAATTGAATTACAAGAAATATAAGCCTTGGGATATGATCAAGCTTAGTAGATAAAGTTTTTATGTGTGTGTTGGTTTGTATTTTCCCTTTGGATTTCAAGCCATTAGTATTGTTTTTTGGGCTTTGAGATCATTATAGCTTTGTCCCTATGTCATTATCTATTGGTGGGGTTGCTCACTTATTAGTGGTGCATGATTCCCCAAGAAAAAATTGAAGAGTAAATATATCGGAGGAGATGTCAATTCTCTCATCGATTATGTTCTGAACATTTGTGGATATTTATAAATCATGATTGTTAGGTGGCAACCTTTTGGCTGTTCAATATGTTTTTGTTGTAATATTTACTCCTCTGAGGTTCATTTTTTCCTGTTACAAAATTTTTCGGAAGTCCCCAATGAATTGACTTATTTGAAAAAGTCTTTTTTCTTTTAAATGGAAACCAATCTATCTTCGTCATAACCAAATTTTATATCTCGAACTAAGCTTAAAAAGATTGCTTGAGACAATATATTGCATTTTTTCACCAGCAAACTTTCCCTTCTTCTCTCTGCACTCTCAAACTTGTCGAGAGAATGTTTAATAACTCATTCAAATATTAAGTTGCAATCGTAAAGTTCAAATCAAAAGTTTTCTGTGAAAGGGCCCAGGACTCGTCAAATAGCAGTATCCTTATCTCGGGTCTATGGCCAAACCATTCTCCCCAGGAATTTATAACGTGTCTGCATGATTTTGTTTTGCAAGAATCTTGAAACATATCTATTAGAAATGATAATATAAGGGTAGTTCAAATGGTAACAGAGGCGAGCTATAAATCCTAACGTTTTGAGTTTTAATTCTGGCGTAGATAGTTTTTCTTTGACTGTATAAGGGAAGGGATTAGTTGACGTGCGCGTAAGTTGGCTCGGATACCTCTGACTGTTAAAAAAAAAGAAGGGTAATTTGGAAGGCGGTACAAAAATTTAGATTTATTTGAGCTAAACTACATTAAGGAAACTTATTTAGCCATAAGTGCATTTTTTTTGAAAAAAAGACTAAAAAAATATTTATTATTCCATTATTCTCTCGCTCTCTCCATTGCTCTCTCACTCTCTCTTCCCTATTTTTTCTCTATCTATTTATCTCTCTCTCTTCTCTCATATTGATAATTTATTTTTTTTAAATATGTAAAGATTTGATTTAATGTTTTCATCTCTCTCTCACTCTCTCTCCCCTTATTTTCTTATTCTCTCTCGTTTCCTCTCTCCTTATATCAACGTTACAATAACACAATTACACTAATAAGTTACATCAATTAGTTACAATTACCCTATAATACATCAAACAGTTACTCATATGTTATAACAAACTAAATAGTTATACTAAATAATTATACGAAATTACAAACACCAACCCAATTTATCATTCAGTTATTTACATAAATCAAAGAGTTGCACCATTTAGTATCATGTCATGGTTATACCAATTATATACATCAAATTGAGTTTATCATTACATAAAAGATTTTACCATTATACTAAATTTGGTATATATAATTGGTGTAACGATGTCGCGATACTAAGTAGTTCAACTATTTAGTTTATGTAAACAACTGAATGACAAATTGAGTTGGTGTTATAAATTTGTGTAATTGTTTGGTATAACTGTTTAGTTTATTAGAAAACATGAGTAACTGTTTGGTGTATTATAAAGTAATTGTAACTGATTAGTGTAATTGTGTTGTTTTAATTTAGATATAAATAAAGAGAGATAGAATAGAGAGAGAGAGAAACGATTAGAGAAAATAGGGTAGAGAAATGAAAAAATAAGTTAAATCTTTACATATTTAAAAAGAAAATAAATTATCANATAAGTGCATTTTTTTTGAAAAAAAGACTAAAAAAATATTTATTATTCCATTATTCTCTCGCTCTCTCCATTGCTCTCTCACTCTCTCTTCCCTATTTTTTCTCTATCTATTTATCTCTCTCTCTTCTCTCATATTGATAATTTATTTTTTTTAAATATGTAAAGATTTGATTTAATGTTTTCATCTCTCTCTCACTCTCTCTCCCCTTATTTTCTTATTCTCTCTCGTTTCCTCTCTCCTTATATCAACGTTACAATAACACAATTACACTAATAAGTTACATCAATTAGTTACAATTACCCTATAATACATCAAACAGTTACTCATATGTTATAACAAACTAAATAGTTATACTAAATAATTATACGAAATTACAAACACCAACCCAATTTATCATTCAGTTATTTACATAAATCAAAGAGTTGCACCATTTAGTATCATGTCATGGTTATACCAATTATATACATCAAATTGAGTTTATCATTACATAAAAGATTTTACCATTATACTAAATTTGGTATATATAATTGGTGTAACGATGTCGCGATACTAAGTAGTTCAACTATTTAGTTTATGTAAACAACTGAATGACAAATTGAGTTGGTGTTATAAATTTGTGTAATTGTTTGGTATAACTGTTTAGTTTATTAGAAAACATGAGTAACTGTTTGGTGTATTATAAAGTAATTGTAACTGATTAGTGTAATTGTGTTGTTTTAATTTAGATATAAATAAAGAGAGATAGAATAGAGAGAGAGAGAAACGATTAGAGAAAATAGGGTAGAGAAATGAAAAAATAAGTTAAATCTTTACATATTTAAAAAGAAAATAAATTATCAATGATAGATATAGAGAGAAAATAGGGAAGAGATGGGGAAAGTAACGGGGAGAGAGAAAGATAGAGAGAAAATAGGGGAGAGATAGTGTAATGAAATCTTTACATATTTAATTAAACATATAACTGTCAATCAATAATGCATAATTTAAGGAAGGACATTTAGGTAAAACAATTTTGATTTCATTTGAATTTGTACCTAAACATAATATCTATATAATAAAGTACAATACAATTCAAATTTNAGAAAAGCCCAATAAATCTTGCTGTTCCACTAAAAATCCATTTGGCCCTACCATATTTATAATTGAGTCATAATTTTTTGGTATAATATCAAACAGATCCTAAATTTACTCTGTTCCTTTTGGAGTTATTTATCAGAGTACTATTCTTTTAAAATAAATATACCAAAATACGGTACTTTATAAAAGCAGAATCAATAACCCTTTTTGTTTTTTTGTTAAAAAACAGGGTTAATCATGTCGCTTTTAAATAAAAAAACGAGATCTAATTGCAGAAAAATTGTGGACAAAACAGGTGGAAAAACGTGTTTATTAAACATGTTTTTCAGTTGTATACACGGTATACGGGCCATATTTTTTATTTAAAAGAGGGGTTATTGACTCTGATGTTAACAAAAATGGGCTTGTTGACTCTTAAAAGTGTCATAGTTTGGTAAATAAGTTTAAAAATATTATATTTTGGTATGTTTATTTTAAAAAGGCGATAGACTGATAAATTACTCGTTCTTTTTGTGCCCTTCAAATTTTTATTACAAAAATGTTTAGGATTCATTTTGAAATCTTAATAGCACTTACACAAAAAAACATAATTGATGTCCATAAAAACATAATTGATGTCCATAAAGACCATTTTTGGAGCAAAAGCATAATTAGCTAACGGACCATTCCCCATAGAGTTTTAAATTGCTTTAAAATAAAATTATTAAAAGTAAGACTTAATTATTCTAATAAAAAATTTAATAGGACTGAACTTTTTTTTTTTTTTTGAAAAATGTCTTATTGGAATTATTGCATTTTTTTATTTATGTTTTGCTTAAGGATTATTTTAGTAATCATAACAAGTATGATGGAGACATACCAACAGACAAAAATTACATTCAACATCCCCAAGGTTTGTTAAAAGCAAATTTAATCCCTAATATTTTGGGAAATCACACTTCACACTTCGAAGTTTGAATTCAATTACAAGCTCACCTATGCACTTTATCCCCTGAGGTTTGGAAACGCACTCTACTCTCTAAAAGTTAGAAATCAATTATACATTTTTCCATAAGAAGTTTTCTGTTATTCTTAGAATCTCAAGGATAGAACAAGGGTATTAACTGTATGTTTTCTTAATATATTAGGACTCGAATTACTTTGTACAAGGGTCAAGGATATTAAAGGATGTTTTAATGATTATTAGAGTAAAATCACCCCCGCACTCCCTTTCAACCATCACTACTAATTTGAAGAGATGACAGTCACCAAACCAACCCTTTTGGCAAATGACATAATTGCGTCCTCAAATCACGGCATGATGTCATTAATAATAATTTAATTTGCCCTTAATCACTAATTTTTTTTTTTAAAAAAAAAAAGTCAAGACACATATTTTCTGGTGCTCTATGATTTGATTCATTAGCGACAAGATAAGCATGCCTTAACAAGAGAGTCAAAATTCAATTTTGATTCTTTTTGGTATATTTTGTTTCGATTTTCCTCGACAAGAAAATAGAAGTTAAAAATTCAACTCAAACTCAGTATATATAAGGGTCTCTTAATTATATCCGCACTTAGGTGTGTTTGGTTTAGGCATTAAGTGAGAATTTTGGACAAAATAATGTCTGGGTCCACCTTATCACATTTACTCCCTTGTTTGAATACACACTTTGGACCCGATATTATCACTTATAAATACTCCTAGTCTAGATGAATAGTATTTTTAAACTCATATATAGCCTCTTAAATAAACCCACCTATTTGGTGGGTTTAAATAGTCCGGTTGTGTATGTTTTGACAAAAATATTTTTACCCTTAAGAGTCTTTATATAATTATTTTGAGTGTTCTTTTGTAACTTAATGTTTATACTATCATTTAATATTTTATCCAAACAAAATATTGGATGAAATAAATATGGAGTGCACTACTTCTTAATACTTGAACCAAACATGAAATGAAAGAGAGATTATCACTATAATTAATCTAAGACTTGAATGGATGGATGGATGGATGGATGGATATGGGATGGACGGATTTATCCAATCTGATACTATGTAATGCTTAAACCAAACACACCCGAACTGATTCTCTTGATTATACATAGGTGTGATCCACATCGAACAAATTAAGAAAATTATAGATTCCTTTGCGATCTATGCAGGGTGTTGCTTGGGAGTGTCAGCAATTATGTGGTGCAAAATGCAACATGCCCTGTCACGGTGGTGAAGGGGACACTACCGCCGTCCAAGCCAACCAGGCATGTGCTAATTGATTAGCAATTGAATTACAAGAAATATAAGCCTTGGGATATGATCAAGCTTAGTAGATAAAGTTTTTATGTGTGTGTTGGTTTGTATTTTCCCTTTGGATTTCAAGCCATTAGTATTGTTTTTTGGGCTTTGAGATCATTATAGCTTTGTCCCTATGTCATTATCTATTGGTGGGGTTGCTCACTTATTAGTGGTGCATGATTGCCCAAGAAAAAATTGAAGAGTAAATATATC